CTCTCAGGCTACTTATCATACGTCAATTTATTAGTAATAATTGGCACTTCCTTATCCGATAAAGCAAAGCATATCTACTGAGAGCAAGGGAGAAGGATAGTGATTGATTTAAACCTCAATACAATGGTGTTTTAGACTAATGTTAGAGAGAGACTTTAGTGACTCACTCTCTCATCAAGTTTCAAGAAAATTCTTGTTTTAGATCTTATCTTGAGTTTCCTTCAATAACCATTTCAAATTCGAGCATGTTTTAGTTGCATCAGCTTAAGGCTGATTTAAGATAATCTAGCAGAATGAGGATATGAAGCAATGAGACGTAGTGCCAATCTTAATTCCCAGTGGAGTTGATATCTCAGTGAATACTGCTTAAAGTAACCGGGTTGCTTTTTCGTTTCAAGTCTGTTACATTAATTTTTCACTGCACTGCAAAATCAGAAACGATACTCTTTTCAAATAGAACTGAAGATAGTGAACAAGAAGGCAATTTAGCAATCCCGAAATAAATTTTAAAATACGACTCTTGAATAGTGGATTTCCCATCAACTAATGGGAATGCATTCCGAAACAAAATATTAAATGAACACACCGTTATATTCCTCAATTTTACTCTTGATATCCCTTTCAGCTAACGCCTATTAATTTTTTGATACTATTCTTATCTGAGGTGAGCAGTGTTTCCATTGCGTAAAACTACAAGTTAGCCAGCAATTGGTTTACACAATGGTCTACCTGTTTGGTAACTAATAATAAAAGGGGAATTAAGCTAGACCTGAAATTGTCTTCGAGGAACTACTCAATACGTTTTCAATCTTTTTATTAATTAAAATTCTGCAATCTGTCATTCATGGAAAAGGTTAACTTTCTATCAAGAGATTTTTCTAGAAGCTAAGGGAGACTGAACGTGAAAACATTGGGAATCAAAATTTTTTTAGTTGTCTTATAAACTAAACACTCGTGCGGTGATTATGGAAATGCTTCAATAAAATCTAGGAATTCAGGATTTTAAAAGGATATCGACACTTATTTGATTCATTTATGTGACCGTTGAATGTTATCCAATCAAAAGAAAGTTGTTCTCAGAAAGTGTAACTAGAAATTGTATAGCCACAAAATTATGGGCGAATTGAATTTATGTGTAAGTTCAACTCCGCCACTAACTCAGAATTAATTTGCGCATAACATTTAAATCGTAAATTTTTAATAGCTTAATTTGTATTAATAGTTGCTAATAAAACAAATTTCCAAATATGATCTACCGTTCATTAAAAAATCGGAAACTATTTAATGCTATAACGCAAAAAATCCATTAATTTTATACATTTCCGATTTAGCAATACGAATTAATAATTAATATATAAATAAAACTTTTAAAGCCCATAAGCATTCGTTGTAACTCTTAAATCAAAATAAAATGTCATTAAGTTTAGAGATTCTTTCTTAACTATTCTGTTATTCACTTACCAATTTCTTAGGCTATGGAGTAAAAGAGCATGACAATATTTACCTCATATTATCTTTTATCGCCTCAGAAGTATTTCTTTATCCCCTTTTTAAACCTTTAATTGATATTATAAATTTAGGAAAACTGTGTAACTTAAGCTCTATAGTGACCAGGTTGGTAAATAAGTTTAAAGCTGACATTTTATTAGAAATTTCTATGTCATAACAGATCAACAATTTAAATAGGAGTAATTAATAACTGATCGAGGCGTTTTGATAGTTATCATTAGCTCTAGAGCTGACTTTGGAGCTTCATGAAGAGGAGAAAGGACATCAAAGTGACAAAAAGTCGAGATGGGAGACAGAATAGTGATTTGGAGGTAAAAGAGAGAGACAGACACAAAGGCATAAAAAAGGTAAGATGAGTACTGTGAAAGGGGTTGAATATGAAAAATAGTCGGATCATAGAAATTTGAAGTCAGAAGTCAATTGCCGGTCAATAGACTTTTTTGCCGTATGAGTATACGTTGCCCAGGGTGCACCACGTGAAGGTAAGTCTATTGCGCAAAGAAAAGTGTTTAGAAATTACTCAAGAAAACGAAACCAACAGTAACCTCAACTTGNGGTGTGCGATAGACTTACCTCCACGTGGTGCACCCTGGACAACGTATACTCATACGGCAAAAAAGCCTATTAACCGGCAGTTGACTTCAGACTACCAAGGCACCCCTGTATGACATACTCAATCACTTCCACAGTACTACATCACATTTTTTAAATTTTCAACCTTCGTCTTTGAAACACTCTTCAGTTCCCCTCCTCTCGACTTGTTTTCACTTTGATATTCCTTCCCCTCTGTGAAGCCTGAAGTCAACTAAAGGGCTAATGATAACTTCCTGAATAAACGTGATCCGTGCGGTACATCTGTTTTCTCTATAGCTGGGCTGTAGCTTAGCTAGCTCTGGGAGTCTAGCTAGATTTAAAAGAATCTGCCACAGAGATTTCGAGTCAGTCAAGGCTTCACTAGTGCAGCAATCCACTGCAACTGGGCTCACAAACTACAAGAATTACTAAATTTCTCTCTCTTCTTGTGCAGTACAGTTTATTGTCATTTAGGAGTTTGCCTAGTCCGACCCTATTTCTAGGTTCTCCTTACCCAAATCTGCCCTCCTTACTGCAAATTAACTTCTATGGGAAGAGAGTTGTATTTCTGAGCTATCGATAGATGATTAGGAGCTTATTAGACGATTTGGATATGATTATTACAGACCAAATGTGCCCCCATCGTAAGCAAGAGTGGCCCCTTCTTCACGTCTTAACAACCCATTTGTACTAATTTACGTGAAAATTTTCAAGAAGATTTAATAATAAAGACGCACTCAGCACATCATACAAAAATGCTTTATCTATATTAACCGCTAAACACTTTAAACATGCCCTTTGTCGCATACCACTTAATTTAAATAATCGAAATTTCTTAGGTGAAGAAGCGAAGGCCTTCCACCATTATGGCTATCCTGAGAATGTGTAAAGGAGTCCTTATTTCCAAATGTCATCATAGTTATTTCAACCATTATGTCATTTAGCAAGACAAAAACCGAGTTATAAGAGAAGTAGGGTGGGTTTGTAAGAACGATACTGAAACTGACTGATAGCAATAGGCCTTACCAATTAATTTGCAAACCTATGGATTAATATAAATATTAGGTCAAATTATGTCTGGCATTTGACCCTGGTCAGTATCTATTCTTGTCATTTTTCCAATAAAGCAGATCAACCAGATGTCAGTTAAGAGGAAAGTGTTTTCTTGTAGTTATGCTATTCTATTATATATTTCAGTGGCTCTCAGATATCGATTTATATTCATTTTTTACTATATTTCACGACAAAACCGAATAAAATTGACAGTTTGACTGCAACATTTCTCTTTACAAACCATATGACTAACGCTCTCACTGAGTATAAAGGTAATAACATAGAGCCTGCTACCAACCTTTTTAATCAGACTTAATGAGCGGGATTGTTCATTTCGCTTACAGTTATAGAACCATGAATTAGCCTCATGTTTGCAAGTCAGAATTACGTCAAACAGTCATTGACTTTGGGAATTAAAATTGATACAAAAAAGTTGGTCTAATAGCGCAATGCTAAATCATGCGCAGATATTACTACGGCAACTAACCTACGTGCCACATCATTCCGCGTAGTTGGAAGATTATTATTTGTCATTTTCGATGGGTAAGATTAACGATATTCTAATTAGTGCGGAAAGAATTTAGTAAAAAAATTTAATTCCGTCGTTAAGCTCTTTTTGTAATCCATCATTAATGTTAAATTTCACTGCCAATAAGAGTTGTTACAGTTGCTTGCTAATTCAGGTGTTCTGTAACAAAGAGATTTTACATGAGACCAAAAGAGGTTCATCTTTTTGCTCTCCAACATAATCTTATCAAAAAAAAACAAAATTCAACACATAACTCCAAACCATATAACCTATCTTCGAGCTGCACTTTCCCCGATTCCACAAATTAGTTTAGCTAACTTTTCACTCTAATGTCCTCAATCATGGGAGATGTAAGGTACCTCATCAAAGACTATTTCTACCAGAATCCGCTAGGAAATATTAACAGAGTTCTAGCTGTCCACAAAATATTACATTGCATATTCATTCCCTAGTTGGAAAAGAGGCTGCATTTCGAGAGGGAAATCAATTAGGGTTTGCCCAAAAAAACTTTATTAGACAATTGCAGTTGCCATTTGGTATCTACATCGATTTCTTCAGGAGGCTTTTAATAGATCCCACTTAAGGGGCAAGACGGAAGGATAAAGTATTTTGGCTGTATGTTTTAAGTATATCTTCAAGGTTGAAAACGAGATATTCATTTTATTCCAAATGGCAAAATCCATTATGGGAATATTTTAATCAGTTCCACTCTAACTAACAACTATACCTTTCTGTCAATATTGTTCAAATTTTCGTTCTAGTATAACGCTTACTTATTGCTCCGATGAGGCAGATGAATCGAATCTAGTTAATATGTTTATTTGTGAGCAAATGAAGGCGAGAAATAGAATATTTTGTTATTCCTTAATATAATTTAACTATTTCTAATGTAAAATCTTCACTTATTGAGCTACCTTACAACTAATACGTTTCCTGTAATCACAATTTCGAGAAAAAGCGAAAAATGAGGTAAACATAAAGCATACATTCTCTCGCTAAATTACATTTAAGAAGAATTGCTGTAAAATGTTAGTTTGAAGTGGATGATATAACACACAGGACTGAAGGAAGCAATCGCTGTTGAAAATTCAAAAGACCTATTAATTTGAGCGATATTTGATAAAGGAATCCAAATACGTTATTAGAGTGGTATAATTTAGGTAGAACGTGGAGAAATAATAAATCAATATGTCATTTAAAAATAACTTTTTTGGTACTTTTTAATTACACTCCGACAGAGAAAACTGTGCAGTTACAAACTTCTATCCTAACAATTATAAGAATTGATAAATTCAGCAAAATTCATACAAAATCTCTTATATTTGGAATGAATAAGTTACAATTTTAGAACCTCTTCAGATTCTGGACCGTTCTCAGGCTTTTCTTCTATTACATCTTGCAAATTTTCACCCGTTGTGTCAGGAAGGAATACTAGAGCGAAACAAGAAGCAAGCAGAAACCCAGCATATACAAGCATTGGTATTCCATGCCCAACTTTCTCATCTAGACCGTTCACGAAAGTTCCAATCGTCGCACCAATTCTTCCTATTCCGGCAGCATTTCCTAATCCTTGAGATCGAATACAGGAAGGATATAGCTCGGGAATATATGTGAGTATCATATTGCTTATGGCTGTGCAGAGTACAAGAGCAATGTTAGAACTGATGGTTAGTATTATATCATTTCCTGAACTTGCTAAAGCTGTATAAGCACCTCCGAAAATCAGACTCAGAGTTGCTAAAATCGAAGTAATCAGAAGTGGCATTCTTCTACGTCGAATTTTAGCATACAAAATCGCGGAGAGAATAGTTCCTGGGATGCCAGTGAGATTGTTGATTAAAGCAACAATGTAGACATAGCCTTTTACAATTCGTCCATAGAGCATTACTCCAATAAGACAAGCAGCTTGAGCCGTGAATAGGAAAGTTGCAATAACGCTAACCTTCAATAGATATTTAGTCTGATATGGTTGTTTTAACTGATCACAGAAAGATTGACAACAGTGCATTTGCACTTCTTCCTCAGTTTTCTCCTCAAATGTAGAGGAGAAGTAGTTGATAAAATCTCCTAGATGTAGCTTAGCTGTTTCTTTATTCCTCCAGAAACGCCAACCCCTTAAATTAATGAGATATCCCCGATAAAGAACATCAGCCGCTTCCACAGCTCGTTTCTTTGAAAGCAGCCATCGAGGAGACTCAGGTATGATCCAGAACTGTAGAACACCCAGAGCAAGTGGTGCTACAATAGCTAAGTGTAACCATCGCCAATAGGGAATATAATAGGCAGCAAGAGTTGCTAGACCTCGAATGAGCAATCCTTGCGCGATGCACATACTGGAGGAAATGATAAATCGATATTTTGCGGTAGTAAGTTCAACAGGAAGAATGAGCAGAGCATTAGCTCTGGCGACGGTTGCAAATGCAAGGAGGAATCTGAAAACCACGAAGGTTATGATATCGGGAGCGAACGAGCAGGCGATACCAATAACCATTTGAAAACCCCAGAAGAGATTTGCTGTTGGTCTTCTACCGATAACATCAGCAGCCATACCCCCAACCCACATTCCCGGCATCATTCCAAACATGTACATGGACGTACTCAGTGAAACGAGCCACTCTCTGTCACACACCAAGTCCCATTCAATAGCAATTCCTGAAGGATACTGATATTCATCCGCCTCATAGACGTATCCCCATGGACAAGCTTCTAAAGGGACTGGCTTTTGTGCACTCAAGAAGAGTTCCTTCAAGCTCGTAATGTTTGAGTAATTCCGCTTATACCGGTGACATCCAGGTTTTTTAGTTTGATTTCCCCATGGACCAATGGCAGAAGCAACCTTGTCAAATGGTACTGGATAACTGTTTCCAGAAAGCTCCATTGGACCTTTCGGTTGGTGAATTTTTGAAGGAGGCGTTGCAGTTTTATTCGGTAGGAGCATCTCCTGAATGTGTGGTTCCATTTGACAGTGAAATTTTGAAGGCATTGAATCACCATAAATTGGGAAAATTATGGTTGGAATATCAGTAAAAATGCAGAGCGTTAAGATGACTATTTGCCATACTCCAAACGGTTTCACAACATCCTGCAATACTGCATCAACTGTTGGGGGCTCTAACTTGAATGAACCAGAGATGCTATCAGCATCTTCCACAGACATTTCCGAGTTTTGAGATGGTAGGTCTACCATTTGCCCGTTACCGAAGTAAGTGAATAAATCAGCTGGATTGAATGGTTTTTCGATGTGAATCGCTGAACGAACCAAATGCGTGCAAATACGCAAAAGGTGACATCTCTGAAAATAAACACGGTTTCAACCAATTACGAGTAAACACCTGAGAATTCTGGCCTCTGCACTTTTATAAGTGAATTTTGCAAGCTGAAATTGGCCCAAATTCGATTTTGATTGCGATTATAATATATATATATATATATATATATTTAAATTGAAGGGGGAGTTAAGGGAACTTAGATCAGCTGTTTATATTCAATAAAGTTTTGTGGGAATAGCAGTGCACATCAGGTGACACTTCGCCATTCAATAATCTCAGGAAAGTTAGCACAAAATTGAGTGCTCTAGACCACGCTTTGATGAATATGCGTTGGACCTAGTGAGTTTGTGAAGGAAGTCAACCAAAATGTTCACTCACTAGAATGACAAAATTTTATTCGCAAAAATATTTTCACCGACTTTATGCAATGGGGCATAAAGTACCAATAATGATTATCGCATGACTCTGATTAAATTGAGACGAAATATTTATTTATTTCAAATGGTGGGATTTATGACACTTATCATTAGCCCTTTAGCTAACTTCGGGATTCACAGAGGTGAGGAGGAACATCAAAGTGAGAAAAAGTGGAGAGGGGGGATAGAAGGGTGATTCAACGGTGTAAAATAGACAAACAGACACAAAGGCAGAGAAAAGGTAAGATGAGTACTGTGAAAGTGGTCGAATATGACATGCAGTCGGGTCATGGCAGTTTGAAATAAGAAGTCAACTGCCGGTTTTTAGACTTTTTTGCCGCATGAGTATACGTTGCCCAGGGTGCACCACGTGGAGGTAAGTCTATCGCACACCCTAAGACGAAACATTACATCCATAATCCTTACGAATGTCGGAGAAATGATAGACCGGTTAGATGTTTTCTGTTCATTATTAAGTACTCTGATACATGTTAAGAATAAGATTTAAAATCGGTAAGGATAGAGAAGAATCAACCNTTTATCCCCTTTTTAAACCTTTAATTGATATTATAAATTTAGGAAAACTGTGTAACTTAAGCTCTATAGTGACCAGGTTGGTAAATAAGTTTAAAGCTGACATTTTATTAGAAATTTCTATGTCATAACAGATCAACAATTTAAATAGGAGTAATTAATAACTGATCGAGGCGTTTTGATAGTTATCATTAGCTCTAGAGCTGACTTTGGAGCTTCATGAAGAGGAGAAAGGACATCAAAGTGACAAAAAGTCGAGATGGGAGACAGAATAGTGATTTGGAGGTAAAAGAGAGAGACAGACACAAAGGCATAAAAAAGGTAAGATGAGTACTGTGAAAGGGGTTGAATATGAAAAATAGTCGGATCATAGAAATTTGAAGTCAGAAGTCAATTGCCGGTCAATAGACTTTTTTGCCGTATGAGTATACGTTGCCCAGGGTGCACCACGTGAAGGTAAGTCTATTGCGCAAAGAAAAGTGTTTAGAAATTACTCAAGAAAACGAAACCAACAGTAACCTCAACTTGAAACAACTTTAGTCATATAAACATGACACAGCGTCAACACATTTTGAAAATACAAAATAAGCATGGCTATGTATGTAAAAATTTCATTAATTATAAGGTATACAGATGAAAAGAATTGTGTTCTCCTTGTTACGGAAATTTATTGCAATAATTTTGAGCTAAATTGTACGATAGAAGTTTGTTTACGGTTTCTATAAATTATCTATTAATAAGTACCTTCATTAACTCTGTTTGAAATTTATTTTGAGTCCTTTTACAAAATTAAGTTTGGTATAGATACTTATTACTTAGTAATTAAAAATATTGAAATATAATTTTCTATGTCATTTTCGGCTACTTCCTCAGTACTCACCTCACCTTTGTTCTACCATTGTGTCTCTCTCTCTTTTACATCTTTGAAACACTCTTCTGCCCCCCCTCTCGACTTTTCCTCTCTGTGAAGCCTGAAGTCAACTAAAGGGCAAATGATAACCATTCTGTGAAGCCTGAAGTCAGCTAAACGGCTTATGATAACTATTGTGAAGCCTGAAGTCAACTAAAGGGCTAATGATAACTATTGTGAAGCCTGAAGTCAACTAAAGGGCTAATGATAACCATCGAAACGCCTGCCATTTGATGTAATAATAATGATTCAAGATAATTATATTTTTGTCTATAGTACTCAAAATTAAATGAGCACATCTCTTAAATTTTGAGTTGCCTTGGTCTGCTAGATCTATATCAAGATTAGGTATAATCATACTATCCAATAGAGGATAAAGCGTTCAAACATTGAACTCGATCGTTTACTATACTTATGGTAAATGCATTGATACGAGATGAAAATTACAAAGAATAATTTGTTTTGCTGCACCTTACTTCTCACAAGGTCACATTTTCAGCCTTTTAAAATATTGTCTCAAGTGCAAGTAAACGACGATGTTAACGTTGCGATTTGTAGTTTTGTAAACTAGCCAAGATTGGAAAGCATGAGTTCAATAAAATTTTAATATATCAATTAAATCAATCTACGACTTAAAATGATTTTGAAATGAAAATCTAATGAACAATAACAGAGATCACTCCAAACCCTTAAAATTAAACAAAGTACGACTATTATCTCAAATAGCCACCAATGATTATTCCACTAAAGAAATCGTCTTCATGCATTTATGATATATCTTAACTAATCACGCATAATTCTTTTAATTTAAATTATTTGACATTTCGAGTGGGAAAAGATGCTTTCACAATTTCATTTTTATCGATTTTTAATTACCTTTTCTATATATATATATATATTCATCTAAAACTGAAAAGTAATTTTACACTTAGTTTTCAATGAGAAGATTTCTTCTTCAATGTTTGATTACTCTAGAATTCATAGAATTAGACATCCCCAACCAATAAAAATTCGAGGCAAACTAAATGGAATCACAAACAGGTCAAATACTAACTTTAAATCAAGCAAACGCAGATGTGCTGATAAAAGGTTGATCCATAAATTTGGGAAAAAAGTATAAAAGCTATCATTTTTGCAGACAATAGGAACATAGATGTTTAGGGGGAATTATTTTAACATAAACCAAATTGAAAATTTTTATGAACATCGAGGTTATATTTATACATTTTCCAACCCATAAAGGAGTTTGGGCATATATAGTTGTGCACTCGGAAAAGTGTAAAAGATTTAAGATTTGATAAGACCATAGCTTATTATGAATTTTAATTGTTTTGGACTTAAGATATGTAAGTCTCTAAACGATGAATGCAAAATTGTAGAGCAGGCACGTTTATCATTAACTTTGAATATAATACCAAAATCAATTTAGGGATGTGTTTGCAACTCTCCTCCTAAACAGTGAGTAGCAAAGTGTAGCCCTAAGGGGCTCGAATTCTACTACAAGTTAACAACTGTGGTCGCACATTCATCTCTCGGGGGCTATGAGTTGATGGGTTACGAAGCAACGAGCTTTGACACGACAGACAATAATAATGTCCAAAGCAATGCCAGCACATTTGCAGTAAAATAACAAATATTTCACCTGATTTTGCTGTAAGAAACTATAAACTACAGGTAGTGTCGTTGCCATTAATACCTCTAGGGCTCTATTGGCTTCCTAAAATAAGTTATCATTTAATTGGAACTTGGCTTTGATTCAAGTTCGCATTTTCAGAGGAAGATAAAGAAAAATCTTTTCATACAACAATTATTGATCTTGTTATCAAAATGTATATGAAAATATGTTTTATGTTTTTATTATTTGCCCACAAAAAAGTACATTTTTACCCTCTGTAAATTTAATGATCAACAGGAAGGCATTAACTTTTCAATGCAAATTTAATACGGAAAATGAAAAAAATTGGCCCACTAATTAGAAATTTTGATGCGGTTGCAAATTATGGCATAAAAGTTGCCACGGCTAGTTTAATTTTATAAAGTATACATTGCCAGTTTAGATTTGACTGCTAGATGTGATTATCAGAATAAAAGATTAACTTTTAGGTCATCAAAAAGCTTTATTTATTTCGAGTCTATGGTAAATATGACCGGGAAATGGAAAGAAAAAGGACGTTAAAACACATAAATCCCTCAACCAAGACGCACAAAACCACGTTTGGATGCATATCTACGTTGGAAATCAGGAGACAAACGACTCAACGTGTCCATTATAAGTTGAAGATCTGATTCTTCTAGGCCGTCGGTGCTGAGAGAGCCATCATACAAAGATCTTGGAAGTCGGATGGCACTTGTCTGTGGTAACTCCGAAAATAGCAGACAGAAACATAGCAGAGAGAGGTAGAAAACCACTTTGTTTGTTAGCATTTTAAGCTGAAAATGAGAGCTGGAACGTAAAGATATTTTTCGCTTTTAACATAAATCAAAACTAGTTCATCAAAGCTGTAAGTGTCCATATGATAAAGGAAAACTGTTACAATTTATACCACTAATGAAACGTAAGATAAAATTTATTCGAAATTCCATATTTGCATACATATATTCGATGAACTCACTTTAAATTAGACCCTTGGTGATAAGCCAGGATTTACCTCAGGACGTGTGGCACTTTATATCAAACGGCAAATTGAAAGGAGAGGGAGAATTTCCAACTGCCAAACATCTGATTGGTCAATCTAATGGTGCGTAATCACAAGAACGGCCAATAGTGCAGAGTATAGAGTGTTTGTGAGATCATTTTCAGTGCCCATCTTACATATTCCTTTGAAGAAATTTTTATGGTGATTTTAATGAGCTCATACATTTCAGTATTGTGTAAGATAGGGGAATAAATGGTTTTAATGTAAAAAAAAGAATGAAACGACTTGACCAATTGAAGGTGAAAAATTGTGATTTAGAAATAATTATAAACCAATTAAGTGCTGAGTACAGGAAATTCGAATATATACATTATCTACAAGCAAAGTTCGTTTCTTATATCGAAGGGTCATTTTACTGAAAACTGTAATCATTATGTATAATTTAATAATTAGAATCTTTGACCTTCTTTTATAAATTATTTATCAAAAATTTACGATTTGCTGGCACCAAACAGAGAATAGAAGTGAATTTAATGATAAAAAATCTATGATTTTTTGGTTGTTTTACGGTCATGGGAAACATATTTAGTTAAATATCTATATGAATATAAATGGGCTGTCTCACTATAAAACTGAGGTCAGAATATTTTTTTCTGTAATTTAAATCTTGTTTGAAATTTTGGCAACAAATCCTTTTACCACGGAATATTGAATTTATTATTCAATTTATAATTGTAATTGAAGCACTAATTTTGTATATTAAATATATTTTATTGTCAGCAAACGATCAGTTATTAGTGATTTTTCTGGTGCTACTTAGATATGAAGAAAACGCCTTATGGAGATATCTAAATGGAGAAAAGTCGAAACTCGTTTATGTTCACTTAAACAAGAAATATTGTCCACTAATGTTAGCATTATATGTAAGGTTTAGAACAGCTTTAAAGACACTGCCTTTACCAAATGGGGACAAAAGAGAATTGTGAAAATATCAGTTTAAGCCTCTGTCTCCAGAACAACCTCATAGTACTTGGGAGTTCCATTTCTGTTTTATATAATATATATATATATATATATATATATATATATAACTATTAACTATTAGCTTTGTTTTATTTCTCTATTAGAATCCGTCTTATAAACTAGGTTGTGTAAAAAATACTAAAAATAATTAATTCATTCCTTATTAAGCAACCTCATTTTTGAACTAATATAAGCTAAAGTGGGCCTTAATTAACATGGGTATTGAAAACTGTCTAAATAAAATGAAAGTTTTCTTTTGAAACAAAGATAGGAAAGAAACTTTAAATCTGATTAGAGAATGAAATATTGATTTAGAGCCTACCAACATTTTCATCCTTTTAAGGCTGTGAACTGAAAATGTACACTCAGGACGGCATTGGCTCAGTTATGTTTATAATATCTTGGTTTCTTTGGTACTATACTGATATAAGCCTTTTAAGGATATTTTATTTTTGCTCAATGATTTCGGCAGTAATCCTGCCATGATAATTGCCGATGGTAATAAAACATTAAATTTTTTATTCTTTATAAATAATCAAACAAGTAGATTGAAATGTCAAGATTGACCATGAAGAACATGCTGTAATCGCAAAAGATTACTAAATTTTTAAAATCAATTAGGAATTCAAAAGTTATATTTTGAATGTAAATTTTAGAACTTGAAGGCACGAATCTTTCAGTTAGTAAATATTTCACAATCGATACCAAAAATGCCACCCTTTTTTAATCTTTTATGAGCAATAGTTAAATGAAAGGTCTAAACCGATAAATATGTACAAGATTGCTTAGAGTGGTGATGCATATGTATGAAATCAATGAAATATCTTCAGCTTGTTAAATTAAAACACAATATTTATAACTGATTGCAAAACAGCTTGATCGTTCCACAACTAATATATTTTAAATTGAGACTTGGGGCTGAAGCGCTAAATTTTATGAAATAGACAATATGTGGTTTCTCCACATGCAAAATCAGTAAAATTACTTGGTTCTTTAGTGATTAATATTATAGAATTTTTTCCGTTGCTGTTTTCATTTTCATGCCACTTTTATATATTTTTAAAATTGAGCTTCAATTTCATCAGCTTTATGGCTGAATTTCATCAAAATATTCCAAATTATAGATATTGGCGCTTTTCTTGCATAATATTTTTGCCAAAGGAAGAAAATACCGAAAAAATTTTTTTCCTCCTATGTATATGATGGTTTATTGTGCATTGATGCATATTAAATGAATAATAAATGTTAATAGCGACAAGGTTCTAAAGAACAAATTGTTTGTCTAGTTGTAATGAATAGTCTAATCATCTTATTTTCCAATTTTAATGGAAATATAATTAGGTGAAGATTGATGTTCTTAATAAAACAGATAGTTACTATATTGTAGGAGGTGGGCTTTTTGCAATGCCCAAATTCTCATTCTATGCAATATGACCATGTTTTTCAACGGGGATTGCACAGTCGACCATGCATGCACGAATTTCTGCAACAATTCTTTCATAACTACTCGAGGATCCCATTCAATTCGACATACTTTCACGTTTGTCGATCGTCCACATTTTGGCTAGCAGTTTAATTCAATCTATCTGATTTAAATCTTGTAAGTGAGAAGTGAAGGCTGTGGACAGCAAGTTCTTGATCGTACATTGCAGTAATGACTTGAGCAGCCTTTCAGGGTTATGAACCTTGACGAAAGAAACAAGAAGTGATGTCAGTCTTGCATGCTCTCTGTCTGCCTTGGGGGTTTAATCTTTTGCTCTTAAATAATATATGTAATTCACTTCCCACAAATAACATTGTACAGAGTTATTATCTTCACTGTGCTTGAACACAAACTGAAAATAAACGTCTATTTGTAAATCGGAAATTTTGTTATTTAATTAACATATAAATCTAAAGATCGGAGAGTTTCACAAAAATATCGATCTAAGTCAATTCGAAAGCACTTTAGATAACTCTGAAGAAAATCGCGAATTAAAGCGCTCTTTTCGGTTGGATTAAGAGAAAAAATTGATAAAGTTAATCCAATGTTTTCCATGTAGAACCACTAACATACTATATTTTACCTGAAGGTTTTGATCTAAGATGAGTATGAATAGCAACAGAGTAAGCTATGAGTCTTGCATTTGATTTGCATTTCAATTTTAAATGCTTGCAAGATAAAATCACTTAGAGGGATGACTTTCCCCTTCGATATGTATAATAAGCCTTAAAAGCAGTCATAAGCCGAGAGTTCATATCATTTCGAGTGCTTCATTTAAGGTGAATAAGTTAATATCGCCAAGTTACATAAGCTGCCATATGGTTATAAACGGAAGAAAACGTAAAAAATTGCATTAATTAAGTCCATCAACCCATTCTACTTTTTGAATAATGCTGAAATTAAAATTTAAGAAGGATATACTTAAAAAAATAATATAATTCATATGGTTGGTACCAGCATGCTCTACCTCAATTCGCTTAAGAATTGAAATTTAAAAACGTGACAAACAAATATTTGAATTTATTTTTTTATATAAAATGTATGATTGGGTGGAACCAGACCGATTTCATGATGTGAATTAAGTACTAAAACTTAAGGTTCACTCTACTGATATTTTAATCTAATTATTTAGATTTTATTAATTCATAGTCATAATCCCCTATTCTAGCTCAGTATACAAGGACTCATGCGATTTGATGACTTTTAATTGTAAAAATCGGCCTAAGTTGCTCAAGGCATATTTTAGCTCGTTTACAATTAACTAGTTTTTCACTTTTTATTGGTAATTGGTGAGGATTATACGAGGCATCAATTCTTCGGATTAACGTGTTGATTTGAAGATTTCAGTCAAGTACGATACCGTGAATTATGCTTACTCACTTGATGAAATGATCTATTTTAAATTAAAATTAGAATTGTTTAAAGTTTTTCTAAAAGCAATTTTTAAGTCGGACGCTATTCCGAACTCTGGTATTAATCTGACTTTGGTTTCTCAGTGAAGCTACAAATGGCTGCTCCAACCGAGCTCCACAGATTAAATGTCGATGAAGTGATTTTGATACAATGGGTACTCGCAGAAAATCAAATATCAGAAACTCATTTCTTTATAAAATCCATATCTCGAGCCAATCAATGTCTTAACTCTTTTCTATGGCTTGACAATGAAACTAACTGAACATCTACACCCAATGCCTTTCAGTCTGCCTTGCGTTTTCAGTCAGTGATTGCTGGTTAAATTCAATAGCACTTATTCGCTATTTTTGTATATTCTGTTTCTTGTTGCATTTATATCAAATGGCAGGCGTTTTGATAGGTATCATTAGCACTTTAGTTGGGTTCAGGCATCACAGAGAGGAAGGTACATCAAAGTGAAAAAATTCGAGAGGGGGGGGGTTACGGAAGAGTGTTTTAAAGATGTAGAAGAGACAGACACAAAGGTAGATGAAAGGTGAGATGAGTACTATGGAAGTGGTGAATATGATATGCAATCGGGCCATGGTAGTTTAAAGTGAGAAGCCAACTGCCAGTTAATAGACCTTTTTACCGTATGAGTATACGTTGCCCAGGATGCACCACGTGGAGGTAAGTCTATTGCACACTCCGTATCTTGTTGCATTGTAAAGCAGGTATGACGCAAGGTAACTGATATTTCAGACAGAATATGTCCAATCGGGAATATTCTATTTCCTGTAATTAAATCCCATTAACGTTATATTTTCTACATAGTGAGATATTGGGAATAACAGAATTAGCTCAAAGTAAGGTTAAAATAAGTTAATGCG